GGCCTCTATTATTTGATTTGGATTACAAAATCTCTACCCCCTGCAATGTTTGTTTCAACAGTCATGCAGAGACAAAGGAGATTCACTTTCCTTCACAGCTTTTCAATTCATTATCCCACAAACAAAAAGTGAGTATTGTTGGACATAAAGGGGGAATAAAACATAGAATTATTTAAGGTTTTCTTAGTTTGCTCCTCTCTACATTTTTGCTAAAGCTTAATTGTGATTAAATTACTGCTGTTATGTCTGTTCAATAGAATTCCTCCTCTGAACTCTTTTGACAGGCAGCAATTTGACTAAAAGATTAGAGTGGGAATGAGATGTTAAGAGTACTTTTGGGATGAGTTGGGCTCTCCTGTTATTTTGAGGTCCTGTGACTGGAATGTCTTTTCTTTGCTGAAGTTGCCACTGGGCTCCTTCAAAGATGACAACGCTGCTGTTTAGCCCTGATTTACTGCTTTTAGCCTTGATTTAATATGGCTCCAATGCTGTAGAGTTAATGCTTGAACATGCATATTTTGTAATCGATGAAAAAGGTTTGTGTTTACAAACTCTTGACAAATGCCCAGTGGGATCCAAGATGGAGCCTTCAGGACGTGCCAGGTCATGGCTTGTAGTGAAGACACCATACTGCCCCCTTCTCGGCTTCCCTGGCATGGTGTGAGATGACTGAGGATGATGACTATTGATGTGGGCTGCGAGATTGCGTCCGAGGGGACTGGGGGGACTTCCCTATGTTTGCACATCCAGTTGTATTGATTTTGGACTTGTGTTCAATGGCCTCAGCCCCAGGGACTTGATGTGCTGCATGGGTTTGCGTGGGCCAGGTCATGACAGTAGTTGAGAGTGGGACGGAAGAGCAGAGACGTAGCTCAGGGCTAATTGGGCTTTAACATGGCGGACACGTGCCTCTCTTCATTACGTCTTGTTTAGTTCAAATAAGATCATAACGGGAGGTGGCAAAACAATAACTGTGCTCAGGCGCATAGGTTAAAATAAACTCCTGTCTTCTACAATATATATTTTACAAACTATAAAGAGGCTAAACTATAATACTCTTTACCAGTGGTTGTCAAATCTGCTCAAATCTTTTCTAAAATGTGGCTCTACAAGTTTTCCAACATAAAAACTGGGTTGGGTCTTATTTAAGCCTAAAACAGCACTACATGTGTCGAGAAATGAAGACAAGGCAGCGGCAATTGCACCTGTACCGTGGTTTATTTTTGAGTCTTCCAGATCAGATAAAAGGGTACAAGGCTTGTTATATGATTTGTGCCAATGTGTATTAGAACAGAAGATATAAATGACTCATGCTTAAGATATAGATACTGTAGTAACAATGTCCATCCATCCATTTTCTTCCCCTTAATCCATTTCAGGGGAAGAAGGGGGCTTCAGGCAAAGTGGGGTTAAGTGTCTTGCCCAAGGACACAACGACAGCAGTCATCAGTGAGAGTCATGAAGTAGGACTTACGGTGGGCTCAAACCCACGACCTTCAGGCCCAAAGGCCAATGCTCCACCAACAGAGCCACTGTCGCCCTTAGAAACAACGTGGTCAGAACAAATACGTTCAGTTCTTCTGAAAAATAATATTTAGCAGTGATACAAATATAACAGGGGTTCACAGTAAAAAATATGTGTAAGGTTCCACACAGTGTCTTCAGTAGGTATATTACCGTCAAGAGCAACATAAAATTATCATCGGACAAATCATTCTAGTAATAACACTACTGAGGATTACATGTACCACCAGAATGTGCACCACATGTAAATACATAAATATGTGTATTTTTTCAACTGCCTAATTCCAGTGTCTCACATACTCTCCCATTAAATAAATCAAAATAATAATTATTAGCCCAGTGTGTGAAGTAGTAGTATAAAAACAGTATTTTCTTTTACGAATTACAAATATATTTTGTGTCCTTGCTACCTCCTCATGTATCTAAACATCAAGTTTAGTAAGGTTTTTCTCATAGCAAATCATAGCATTATTCAAGACAAGCCTCTTTATCTAATAACAACCCAACTATCAAATTTGAGAAGTGCCGTCAACATCCTGAGCAATCAATGCATCTACCCCCCACTCCCAAAGCAGCCATTAACCCTTCTTCTTTCTACATGCCTGGGCCTGCTAAAATGGTGGCTTTACGGCAAACATCACTCTATAATAGCTGTGTAGAATTAGCCCCAAGCTACATCAACATTCAGATGGTGTGTGGTAATGTCCAATGGATATGTTGAAACGTAAAGATCTTAAGACATTGTCCATTAAAATGTATTCATTCATTCTATTGTTAATTGACAGTGTCATCATACTTGACCATCACACAATTTCTTCCCTGATTTGGTTCTTGCAGTACTTATACACCCTAATGTGATTAGAAGCCCACCGCCTGGCCGGTAAACCTGCTAACAACATAAGACTACAACACTGACGGCTGCCGTTAATCCTGTGTGTACAAACACTATGTGAACGTGAACACAAGAATAAGACATGATACTAAGATATATATTATTGTTTTACTTTGAAAATTGATTAAGAGATCCTCATAGACAATTTGTTCCTTCAGCCATAAGACTTTACAAAAGATCTGTCTGAGTTAAACAAGCACACTTTATAATTATTTTATCACTATTGATGACTTCATGTATTTATTTATGTTTTAATGGATGATGTTTTTTCCTGCTGGACACTTCAATTTCAGGGGTTCAATAAAGTATCTATCTGACTGATACCTTTACAAAGATGTGGAGAAGTTATTCCTGTTGATGAGGAGGTTTAGGATGCTGATCATAAGGAGTTGTCCTCAAAACAGTAGTATCCACTCAAAGGAGTGAAAAAGCACCATAGTGTTAACATTCCTCTGCTGACCAAGGGCCCAATTCAAGAGCCAACATGTCTATTCATGGTTAACTGCAACTCAATGATTTTTGCCTTCTCAGGACATGCTTGATGCCTGTGTTGTTTTGTATCCACTGTAACGATTTCAGATTTGTTTGTATTGGAGTTTATATTTTACCATTTTAGTTGGAAAAATATCTAATATGTGTAGTTATAATTTGTAATTGCTTAACCACATGCATTGTAGCCCACAACGACAACATACGGCATGTTTTAAAAATAGCATTAGTCACATTAGAGCTTCTTCATTTTTCTTTCTTCTTCCCTTCCTTCCGTCCCACGACACATTCAGGGGCTGATGTTTGCGACAGTGGTGAGTCAGAGCTTCATGAGAGTACCTGCTGAAAAGTCCAATTCGAGAAGGAGGCAAAATATATGTGCGTTAGTAGCGTCATGTGTGCGACGATACCTGAGATGTGCTCTCTACATGTTTCAAAAAATGTATCTGATATTAACCAGGTCTCAGATAGCCTGGTCTTACCAAACCATCATACTAATTTCATTTTGTACTAAGGTCTGGATTGGCTCCTTTATAGCTCCGTTATCAGGTGGGAGGGGTTAACCCCTTTTTCTGATTTAAATGATTGGAGCTAGGGCTGGGCAATAAATCGAATTTTGGCAATTAATCGGCTTCTGAAAAAATCTAATTTGTGAAAAATCTGAAAATTGTGAAATCGAATGAAGCATATTGTGAGAATTCCAGCAACACATGAATTTTACTTGCAATATCAGCCCAGTCTCTACTAGACTTTTATAATACCTATTGAGGAAACAAATCAAAAATACTTTTGAAACGTGAATATTGACCTGAAAGATCAAAACATATTTTTAAGGGCAAAGTCTGTCTTCGGTGACTTTAATGAAAATCGATTTAAAATTGAAATCGTCCAAAGCAGGAAATAAAATCGAGATATTCATATCGCCCAGCCCTAATTGGAGCTGAGTTTGCTGTGACAAATGTAATGCGCCCGAGTGAGCAAGGCCTTTAGCATTTAGCCTTGCATCTCCTTTGCCACTAACGGAGCCTGTGGTGAGTAGAGCCACAACATTTTGAAATCTGCTAAACATTCATCTTGATCTGGTTTCAATTTCTTGAACCCGCAAATTCTGCTTAAAGGTTTGATGTCACCGACACCTACCTACAACACCCGCCTTCCCCACTCGCTGAATGGTCGGATGGGATACAACCGAGCTAACCAGATCCTGACGTACATGTAGGGAAATAATAATTGACCGAAGTTTATGGATGGCCAGGCCAGGCTAGGTCTGAGCCAACCACGATAAAATAAAACCCAAAATATGTTAGGGATTGTATTCTTCCACAAAGTGGAATTGATTGACTCTTTGAATTTGTTATCTCATGAATCTCATGATTTTTTGATCAAATATTTATGGTGTTGTTCTACCTGCAGAAGTTACAACTGTTGCAAAGCAGGGAACACGTATGCAATCATTGAAGTTTTTTTTTTTCTATGTGTATCTAGAAGGATAAGCAATCTACTAACATATACTGCCATGTTGCACTGTATACTCTTGATTTGATTTATTTTCAGTTATATAGTGGGTAAAGGTTGACAGAAGTGGCCTTATGTGCAAAGGTTCTCAGGTATATGATATACTTTATTGAACTCTACAGGTCTATAAACATGTACTACTCTACTTTGCTGACTACATATGTTTCATATGATTGTGTCATTTCATGATAATCTTGTTCTCTGTTAAAAATTTTGTGTAATTATTACAAGAATATGATTACACATTGTATATGTATATGATGATGAGTAGTTGTTTAGGAAGCATGAATGTTGACAAGCGTTACATGTTGGGTGTGAGAGGGTGAGAATGATTTGCTCTCAGGGGCCATGACAACCTTTGGCCTGCTGGCTCTTGTTTCAGACCCTGTAATTGCCACTGACCAATGGCTCCTGGATGAAACTAGAGCCTCAGCTGAAGCTATTAACGTCCCCTTCCAAATGGATCTTGTTTTGATTCCTGATGCTTTTATAGGTTTTGTCTTTAGTAGACATTCCTGCTCTGCACATACCGTGCACCCCTTTCTGCCCCTATTTTCCTTCCTTCCCGTCTTGTGGGGCCATGCCCCCTCCCTCTTGTACTTACAAACATACACAGAGCTGTGATCACCTCCTGCACATGTGTGTGTGCCAAAAGGCTACCGAACAGACCCCTCCCCTGGCCCCTGACAGCCAGCTCCGCTGCATGAACTTGGCCACCCGTCACAGCTGCGTTAAGATTGAGGGATGGGGGGCCCTTGTATCCAGCTGGGTTGGGAGACATTGGTGGGGGCAGGGCAGGCCCAAATGCAGATGGTTTGGGTCAAATGGAGATGTTTGAGGATGAAGGGGGAGGGGGGCATTTAAGCCCAGGGGCACAATAACTCCAGAGGTTACTCCTCCAACCCCTGGAAAACTGCATTCTTTGAACCGATGGACACTATTATGACTTTTGTGATTGTGTTGTGCACATTGCAAAACACAGCTATAGTTGCAACATCCACCAGTTCCCTTCATGACATGTACAATGATTCAATATCCTGCCCATTTGTTGATCATTTGTGGTCTGATCTTAACTGTTCCCGGTATTGTTTATACATTAAGGATGCAATAATTAAGTATAAATAATTTGCTAATTTATTTTCAGAATGGAAGTGCAAGCTGGCCAGATGAAGCAGACAGTAACAGAGGAAGGGGAGAAGCCTCCAGAGACTTTGCAAAGGTGAGGGTGCAGCAATTCCCCTCATTGAACTTCATAGTTTTTTATGTTGTTTTGTTATTATATGTAGAGTTTGTCCACCTGCGTAGGCCATAGCTATCTATCCACCATAAACGTTATGTAATACATGTAAAATGTACATAAGTGCAATCTGATAAAAAAATGTTTTACATTTGCACATTTGATTAGTAACTACTGAACTTCACACACAAAAAATCCTTTGGATCCAAATATAAGTTCTTATAATCAATGCAAAACAGACACACAACAACTGTACAGTTACAACAGTTATCTTTGCACACACGCATGCACACAGACACGTTTGCACAGGCCAAACGGTGCTATTACTAAATTGACTCATATCAGAACAATTTGAACATATGACCTACATCAAACCAAAGCGCTTACAATGAGCAGAACATAGGAGAGGTCCTTTATCCACACTTGTTTGGCCCAAGTCACTATTTATATGTTGAATTTATTTATTATGGGACAATGTATGTTAATAAACTGCAAACATGGTAGAGGAAACTGGAGCACCCAGAGGAAACTGGAGAAACACGGAGTGTGTTTACAAAGCGTAAGAATACGGAGTACAATCAAATAACACAGGTCTGACAATTTTTTGGGTTCCATCTCCATGGATCCCACAGAGAAGCCACTTAAAGTGCCAGGCCTTTTGACGCTTCCAATGGCGTCTCGTGACTTTCCCTCATTACTCACACTTTGCAACTGTAATTGTAAATAAAATTGCTATCATCCACTTTTATAAGCACACGTTTGGCAAATGTAATCACACAACGTTTATTTTACATGCTCAGCTGCTGTTGCATAAATCATTGCATTTCTGTGGCACTCTCTAAAACAAATGATTCTTGTTACGTTTTGTTTTTGATTTGCCTAAAAAAAAAAAAAAAGACTAAACATGATCTCACAGCAAGGGACTGTGAATTAAATAAATCTCTGATGGCCCACTCTGAATGCTCCACAAACATTGAAAACATCTTGTCTTGTTTTTCTTTCAGTTATATGAGCTCGATAATGATCCCAAAAGAAAAGAGTTTTTGGATGACCTTTTTACTTTCATGCAGAAAAGAGGTAAGTTTATTCTCCCTTTATCTTAATGCTCATTATTATATAATTAGTTTTAACTGTGTGATAGAAGTATTACTCTTATACTTTTTGTTTTGTCAGAGACTAGGTGATCTGACAGATTCTTGCTGGTCAGAAATCTCTTTATGTAGAAAATGTAATGCACTTTGCCCATGCACTTGGCGATATTTGTTCCCACACAAATCAGATGGCCCAAGCCTTACCTCCCACCGTGAATCACAATGTTTTTGCTGTCATATTGAAACTGTACATGCTTTGGCAAACCTTGACTGTTGTTATGTCACCCGCTTGATTGGCACTGCTACATTTGAGACTCAAGACATTCTCACCTCTTCTTTGGATAAAATAAAGGGGTCAATGCGAGGGAGGGGCCAGATCTGTCAGGACCCTGTTAGCATCTCTGTCCAGTGGCAGACGTCATGAGAGGTTGGCTGACCCCTGGCTCGGGCTTGTCACACAAAGAGATCCATCAAGCTCACTAAAATGCCACATGACGACAGATAATTGAAGAGTACAGACACTGTTTGATGCGTGCAAGACACAACTGCAGAATCAAAAGGAGAGCTGTTAAAAGTTAAATGAAGAAGTCGCATAGAAAAGAGGGTTGTTTCGAACAACTTTGCGACAGAACCAGCCTGGTTGAATGAGTGTTTGGCACTGGAGGATGTTTAAATACATACATGTTGCGCTTAAAAGCTAAAATAAAATAACACTCGACAAGGAGGTTGTTGCATGGACTATCAAGACTTAATACAACTACTTACTGGTTTGAAAGGTATAATTTTAGCTACTCCAATGCAAGATCTTCACCCGCCCCTATAACAAGAGACACTTGGCTGACCTCCGCTGTCTCACAGAGTGGGAGCAAATTACTTGGCTGCCGTCCTTTTGCAACCAATGCCAGGAGTATAAGATAAAGAGCAAATCCTGCCAAGCACTTATTTATGGAACCCTGATTACAGTGCATTTACCCCTCCCTCCTTTTCAAGGTCCAGGTTATTGCACTTCCTAATGAAAGAGCACTTACAATGCATTGCCTTTGTAATTTATTTGTGGCTTTTGTAAGGAGGCTGGATAATAGCAGCTTCCATGTGCTAGATAGTTTTGGGGAGTGGTGGTGAATGCAGCATGTGGTTGTTGTTCATGCATTACTTGATTCTAAGGCCCTGTTTAGACGGAGACACTGCAACAGTAAAACGGTAAAGTTGGGTATCGGTTTGGCCTTTCGTTTACATGAAGACTGTGTTTCAGGGGGGTGAAAACACAAGCATTGAGAAAAAGCCTCCAGAGTGGAACAGAACAGATACACTGCTCGGCGGGGGCTGTTTCAGAGCCGATTGAAGAAAAAGGTGTGAATCTTCCTTCCATGCGCAGTAGCCGAGAACAAACGTAAACAACACTGGTGGTGGGTCAACTAACTAGCTACGTATGCTTCGAGTGCTTCAAGGAGGAGAATTCTACTCCTTCGTCCAAACAAAACCACGCAAAGCTGTAGTTTCAGCTTCTGTTAAATGCAGAATGATGTTAGTGCATTCTTTCACGTCTTTAACGGATGTTGTTGAGGAAGTGATTATACTCCTGGGGGGGCTAGGGGTTGCCTGTGTTGTTTTGTAAAGTTCCACTGTCCCCTACTAGCCGGGCGCTAGAACTATCGAGCTTTCTGTCGCCGTCTTAAGCTTAGCGTACATCGGACTGGCAACTGATTATATCCGTCGCATACGAGTTGCTGCCCCGCACACATCGACAATCTGACAAAAACGGGCAACTCCCAGTAGCAGACCAGTCTCAGGAATAACAGCGCGTACATCGACAGCAACTGGCCTCAACTACAGTGTGTTTTCTGACATAAACTGTTGCAGGCTCGCAACACACGCAATACACACACGTTGTCGGAGCGGCGCATGGAGCGTGCACATCGGGTCATATCTCCGAAACTGAGGACAACTAGTTGCCGAAAAGTAGAACACGGGCAACTGACTGAAACTGGAGACCGACTGATTATCTCCAGTTGTAAGAGCGCTCACATCGACCGATTTCGGCAACTGATCATCTCCCACCATCTCCTCTCAGTTGCCAAAAGCCGCCTTGCAACTAGTTGTCCCCAGTTTCTCTGTCGATGTACGCTAGGCTTTATTGCTGTGCAGAAGCCTGGTTGTTTTGGCTCATAGCTTTGCAGCGTCTCCGCAGCGTCTTTGTCTAAACGGGGCCTAAGTAAGAACCACTCTACTGGAACTATTCTAGAAAAATTAAAATCATTTCTGGATCATTCTGCCATAACTTTTTGAGTCTTCTTGCTGACTATATAACAGACAAACAACTCCTGGTGATTACTTTAGCCTGACCACTGAGATCAGCCATATAAAAAAACATAATCAAATGCATATTGAATGTAAGTAATTTTAATTGTATGTGGTTGTTATTACGGTAAATGCAAAACATGTTACAAGAAATCCCAGCTCAGAAGAAGACAAATGGAGAAGTGATTTTCCCACCTCACTGTAGGACCTCCAGGCCTTGAGAGGAACAGCGGAAGGAAAACTTACAAGGGATTCCCATTTCCTGCCTTTGCCCTTAAAAACAGGCACCAGTGTGTGTGTGTGTGTGTGTGTGTGTGTGTGTTTTGAGTGGTGTAGGAATTTTAGCAGCTGTCCTAAATCCTGTAAGGACAGGGAGCAGGGGGTGTTGGTTATACTCTTGGCTGCATCCATTCATCTTACATTTCCATACAAACATTTATTGGCTCACAATGTTTAGCTTTAAATGTTCATTGTAAATTGAGACATCAGTTATATGGAAGTGCATGTGTAGGCTCACAAACACTTAGCCTGCAAAGTGTCTATGAAGGACAAGACTACAACTTATCATATCTATTACAGAGATCACCCACTGGGAATGCAAAGGGAAGCTGCAGCGCTGGCCCAACACCATTAAGCACCTAGGAGATTTCGATTAAGCAGATGTGTGATTGTTTGTTTTGGTTTGACACCGGGCCACAGGCTGCTCTGGCACAAGGGGTTTTTGGGCCAGTGAGTGCGGCTGTGGGAGAAACAGGCGCATGATAGAAGAGAAGGGAAAATAAAAAGTGATGCAGCCAGCTTCTTGTCAGCGCTGTCCACTTGAGATGATTAATGGCTACAGCCTGTGATGGACAGAGGCAAAGAGACAGAGGCTCCTGTTTGGTCAAGGCAAGCTGGAGGGGTAAAACAAGGGGGATAAAATGAGTCTATAGCCCCTCTGCAAGCCTGAGAAAGTCCCACATGGCATTAGTCGTCATGTTGAACTGCTACCTCGTGGCGTCATTTGTTTGCATGGTTTCACTAAATTATCAAAATGCCGACAGGGGACACAGTTGTTGCGTTTTGAAACCACTGTGACCAATTTATTGAAAAGTTTTGGAATTTCCGTGAACAAGTCAAATAAAGGTCATTATGAAGATGTTTCATGCAATTTTCTGATGTGAAAAGCGCTTGATCTCAGCAGGATAAGAGAGGAAGTCTTTTAGCTGTAATGCTGACACCAAGAGCTCTGTCCACACCAATTACAGCGTGAATGGGCTCTGGGGGATCCATGCATGCATTATATTACTCCCCCGGTCTGTCTAACACTAGCCCCCCTAACTGGCCCTCTGTACAAACACCACAATACAATGGGAACATTCTCTCGCTCTTTGATATGGCCTCATTTTCTTTAGCAGTAACACCCACATAAGTTCTGGAAAGTGGTTTCAACGCTGGCATGCGGGGGAAAAAATATAGAAAATGTTCTATCATTTTTCAAGCCTGAACCTGTTGTGTATGCTCTCATGAAATGTCATTAGGAAATGACATTTTGTCGTCTCAACTCTTCGTATCTGCTTGTCTCCATCCTCTTCCTCTTGCTCCACTCATTTGCCTTCCCCCTCTGTTTATTGTGCTACAGTTACAACCGCTGAAACTTGATAACACCATGGGGGATAGGGGCTGTGGGCCACGCTGCAGCCTGCTTGGGCAACGCTTGGTGGAGGAGGGGACTGGATTAAGGGGGCCTCCTGTCCTGCGCCAAATGATTAATGATCTCCAAATAGGTGGAGGCCAACTTTTTGATAGACCTGCCCAGTACTGACCAACAGAAAAGGTCACCACGTGTCTAAAAGGAGGAAAAGAGGAAGCATCAGGACCATGCACAGACAAAAAGACACAGTAGGAGATGAGAGTAAGCAGGGTGCCAGGGTTACGCAGGGAGGTATTGGTATCAACCAGCTGGTGAAGACAAACAGGAGTTTTGCTGGTGGAGACATTTTGTCAGTCTGTAACCCAGACAGTATAATAGTCAGCGAAACATATCGTAAGTCACTAGGTGCACTGGGACTACATCCCAGGAAAGGGTGTGAGCCTTAATGATATGTGAATTCAGCCACTAAGCAGTGGTTACTAATCACTGCCCTGAAGAAGAGGCAAAACTATGCTTATTGGGCATCCTCCCCTGCGTATGTGATCAAAGATTTAGTGGTTGGAATGATGATTTATCCAAGACCTGAAATTATCTTTGCCTGTGGTGAACTCCACCCTTTGACTGGTAAATTATAGCTGAGTTTAAAAATGTCCACGTCTATGTTGGCTCTGCCCAAGTCGTCTTTGAAAACAAAAGGAAATGGCACACTTCCTGCAGTGTTGTTTCTGTGTGTTTGTGAGTCGCCCATCAGATTAAAATCTCCAGCCTATTATTTTCTGCTTTATCTAAACTTGGCCTGTTCCCTTCCACCCCCTTGCCACCTTCTTGTGACTTCCTGTGGCACTCAGCCAGATTCTTGCAGTGCCGCGGAACAGTCCATGTTGTCCAGCTTTAATTACGACCATACTGTATGAGGATTTGACCCTCTAAGCTGCCGAGCTGAAAGATTCTTAATCACATGCTTGTACGTAACTGAGTAAGGAGGACAGGCACCGGCTTCAAGCAGATCCATGCTTCTCAGCGAGGTCAATGGTCAAAGTAAAAATAACAAGGGC